TGGTTGTATCCTGAGTAAGCATCCATGAAGCTCAGAGGTTCACACCCTACCGTAGAGTCTATAACTCTGTCTATGAGAGGAAGAGGAAAGCTATCCTTCGGGCATCCTTTGTTTCGGTTGGTGTAATCGACACATATTCTCCATATGACCTTTACGAGCAGGAGACTTTCCTTGGTCGGATTCTTCTTAACAAAGACAACATTTGCTACCCACGTTGGATAATTGACTTCGTGGACGAAGCCTATGCCTTTGAGTTTTTCAACTTTAGCCTTCATTGTCTCGTACCGTTCAACGTCATAAGATCTTTGCTTTTGTCTCACTGGCTTGGTCTTGGGGTTAATACTTAAGTGATGACAGATGATATCGAGAAAGATGCCTGGCATGTCCTCGTATGACCAGGCGAAGACCTCAGTGTTCTCTTGAAAAAAAGAGATCAATGCCAATCGAATAGGTGGTGACAAGTTGGTGCCAATCTTCACCATGCGATCCGGATAATCTTTTGAGATAGAGACCTTCTCTAACTCTTCAATGGGTTGTGCTTGCTGGGTGAAAGAGTCATCTCGAGGATCGTCGGGTTGACTGTTGCCACCTTGAAAATCCAAGTTAGCTTTGTCTGGGCTGGTCTTTATGACTTGGTCATGTATAAAAAAAGGTTTCCTTGGGCAAAGGCAGGTGCTATTGCTTGACCGAAGTTTTGTAACATGATCGTGTAACCATTGCCATAGGGGGTTGGAAATTTCATTAACAACATATGTATGGATACTATGGCCTTGAGATCATTGATGCCTGTGCGTCCGAAGATGACATTGTATGTCGTTGGGCAATCAATCACTAGGAAGTTAGTGCTAAAGGTAGCTGTGTAAGGGCCTGTACCAATGGTGAAAGGTAAATGGGAATGTCCCAAAGGTTGCACGATATCACCGGAGAAGCTTATCAGATGGGAAATCGAGCGATCAAGCAAGTGTTCAACTACATTAAGTTCCCTGAAAGCTTCAGCAAACATGATATTTGACCGAAGCCCCTGTGTTTACCAGGATTCGTCGTACTTCAAATTTGGCTATATGAGCTTCCACGATCAGTGGGTCTTTGTGAGAGTAGATGATACCTCTTTCTTCCTCAGGGTAGAAACATATTGGATCCCGGTTAGGCTTTTGATACTTACCTCCCCTGATGTCTTCCATGTGAAACACTTGGTGGCTAGACCTTAAAGCCCATTCACTATTTTTCATGGCCCTGTTGGAAGATTTAGATATGGGTGTGCCACCACTTATGGAATATATCACATTCACCTGCCGTTGGTCACAGTTACCCCTTGGAGTGTGAAGGAGGAATTGATCAATTTTTCCTTCACATGACAAAACTTCAATATGATCACGAAGGGTGATACACTTCTAGCCGTCATGGCCATTATGCTCGTGGTAGTAGCAAAACGTGCCCATGTTCTTCGTGGGCTTGTAATCCGGGTGCCTCGGCTTTGGCTTCGGTATCAGGTGTGCTATGTTACCACGCATGTGGCGTTCAAAGGTGTGTATGCCTCATACCTCGGGGTAGGGGCTGTCTTGACATGTGCTTGACCCACTGTGTTGACTACCTGGGGTTGGGGATTATGATGGCGATACCGTTGGTTATCACGATAGTGTCCCTTACTCTTTTTTACTGAAATGAGATTGGTGAGGATGGAAATCTTTCCTTTTGCCCTTAGATTGATATGTATGTTGACTTGGCAAAGTATTAAGTAAGGTAAGGGGAGGCACTGCGGCCGTTTGGAAGATCGAGGTCTTCTCATTTGGTTAGATTTGGCTTCCACTCCCTACTTGCTGATAAGGGGTGGCTGTGGGGTGTTTCCCTTGATATATCCTTACCTCGGCGGAGGCATGGTTGTAAGCCTGTGCCATCACCTCAGAGTAAGTCTTCCAAGTGTTAGCATTGATCATGTACTTGAAGAAACAATCACGTAGGCCTGCCGTGAAGGCCTTGAGGGTGGTCTTGTCATCTGCCTCAGCGCAGCGAGAATACTCATGGTTGAAACTACCGGCATATTCTCGTAGTGACTCGTCCGGCTTCTTGCGAATAGTGTAAAAGTCATATGCAGAATGCAAGCGATCAATCTGGAAGATGTGTTGAGAGATAAACGGTTTCCTCAACTCCTCAAATGAGTCTTCTGTCTTAGGTGGAAGATGGCAATACCAATTTAGAGCTCCGCCAGATAGGGTGATAGGGAAGAGAAGACATCGCTCTTTGTTGGTGTGCATCCGATTTGCCATGGTGGACTCAAAGAGGAAACGGTGCCTCAATTGGGTCCTCCCTTCCAGTATAGTGTTGTGTAAACCAAGCTTTTGTTTTGTCTTCGCTTAAAGGGGGTGTCGAGGATCCTCCTTGCAAAAGGGCCAAGCCTGGGTTGGTTCCTGTCAGGTATCTCGGCCTGACGTTCGGCCTTCAACTTGTTTACTTCCTCAATGAGCTGTAAGACAAGGGGGTCTTGAGTGGAGTCATGTACCACTAGGATTTTCTTTCGTAAGTCTCCATTGCCTCTTGGAAGGAGGAAAGTTTGAGCAAGGGCGTGTGATTTTTCCTTGGACTCGCCGTATTGACTTCTAGGGCGAGTCTGTCGGAATACCTCAGAGTCCCATGTACCTTCATGTTCCTCTGGGACCTGTCGTTCCTTCCCTAGATTGGCGGCTGGCCTGGGTCGTGGGAGGGGATCGAGTCTTTTAGAAAACCCTTGGGTCATTGATCTTCGAGCATATGTGGAGGGGATTCTCTCGACGTTGATTTAGGAAGTCTTGGCAGTCACGATAAACGGCTTTCGATCCTTCTAACCCTTCTGTAAGGAGGTGTCTTCCTTCACTTCTCCTGCTTCGGGTCGAAGCAGCTAGTTGAGAGAAGTCTCATGTTGATCATTGTTTTGATGATTAGCTCGCTCCTCATCTGGGATACCCATGTCGAAGGAAGGTGACCCTCTGTGTTGGGGGGCACCCAGATGATGGTTGATGTCCATAGGGGCAACAAGCTCGCGTGTTTGAGTACGCATAGTTTCGTGGAGCGTCTCAAAGAGCTTCTCATATTGCTACTGGAGGACCTCCTTCTTCATTCCTATCTTGTTGTTCTAAGCTTCTAGCCCATCGACTTTAGCTTGAAGAGCAACCCTCTTTCCTTCCTTCTTTCGTTGCTTCGCACTAGGTACAAGAAGGGTGTCATTCTGTGTGTTGTGGCTTCCTTCGCTCCCCATGTTGAAGAAGGATGCCTGGTCAAAAGAGAGTGTATGAATGGTGGAAACCAGCTTGACAAAGCTGAAGACAGTGGGAATAAGTGTCGTTCACATAGACGGCGCCAAATGTTGATGCACAAAATCAGTGGGGACTTTGGTACAACAGAAAGTGTTAAGTTTGTGACCTTTACTAGATTGCTCAGGTCACTAGTGTGGATAAGTATGCAAATGGATAGAGACAAGGAAGCAAACACAAGATGTACGTGGTTCACCCAAATTGGCTACATCCACGGAGTAGAGGAGTTCTCATTAATTGTGAAGGGTTTACACAAGTACATAGGTTCAAGCTCTCCTTTAGTGAGTACTAGTGAATGATTTAGTACAAATGACATTAGGAAATATTGTGAGAGAATGATCTCTATTTATAGAAGAGAGTTTCTAGTTTCATTATGTCATTGACACATGTCGTGTTGTGATGAGCTTCTGATGTTGACACGTGTCGCGCTATGATTGGCTTCTGATGTCGACATGTGTCGCGCTGTGATTGGCCTCCTGGTTGGAGGGAAACTCTTCTGGGTCCTTGACGGTATAACGTTGACCGGTGCTTAGTAGTTTCGGGATTGGTAAAGTATGGTGCAAACAACTTTAGTTCCAAGTAAATAAGATCGAAACTTATCTAAAGCAAACACACAACGGCAAGAAGTTCTTTTTCAGTGGTGTAGTAGTTCAATTGAGCATCATTCAAGGTCCGGGATGCATAATAGATGACGTGTGGAGTAGTTTAATGTAGAAGCTATTGAGGATTTCCTTTTCAAACTAATCTTAGTTATTGATGGACTCAGGATTGATGTTGGTGTACCAATCAAAGGCGTTACCTTTTAGCGAGTGCACGAACTGCTTGCCGACGTAGTCTCCCTCTATCCTAGCATTGTGCAAGTTTCTATAAAATGGGCAATATGTTGTTTGAGATTACCCTTTCCATCGATTTGGATGCTTTTTGGTGGCTGATAACCCCTTGGCATCCTCAAGGCGTTAATCTTTTTGGGGTAAGGCTTTGAGTACATCACAGAGTCATGTGAGCTCCCTTCATACTGCATCTTGATGGTGCTAGTGATCATCTCTTGCAGCTGCTGGATAGAGAGAGATCCCATGAGCGACGTTGCTTTGTCTAGCTTCACCTCGGCTTTTTCTATCGGAGGCTCCTCATCTTCGTCAAATTACTTCTTTTATAGATCAATCTTTCGGTCGTGGTTAGCTTTTTCGTCATGCTGCACCTCAAGACAGTTGACGAGTGTAGCAATCTGCAAGCCCTTTTCCTCCACGATCATTGTTAGCCTTGCAATTGCTTCATTCATTTGAGCCAGCTGCTTCTAGATGGAAGTCACACCAGTAGTCATGCCTTCCATGGCTATAGGATACGAGCTGCTGCTTGAGTCGGCATCGGAAGTCAAGGACTCAGAGTACCTCCTTGGGCTTTCTTCCCTTGGCGCCCTTAGCAAGGCCAAGATGATCACAGGCTCGTGCCTCGGGTGCTCTTGCTCATTCGGCAGGTTTGGTGTAGGGGTGGAAGGCACGACAGAGAGAGTTCGTGCCTTGCTTTAGGTTGTAACGCCTAAAGTGCCACCACTTGCGACAAGGATGTTCTTGCGAGAAAAGCTTGCTATTTTCTTGATGCCATTTGTGCTTCTTATAGATTTGAAGACAGAGATGAGAGGTAGAGATGTCCCACTAGGCATGCCAAATTTGTAAATAAGAAAATTCTGTAACGAATGAAACGAGAACACGTGTACTATATAAGTGCCATCTCCAGGACTTCACCCAACATATTTTATACATTCCCTTACAATCATGTCATTCTAACACATATTATTTAAGAATTTCATCATGCAGCCATAGTATGACATCATTAAATTTGCCACATCAAAGATCTTAATCATAAGGATAATGAAATTAAGCACTGTATGGGCTCCACTCTTAATTTGCCACATCAAAGATCTTAATCATAAGGATAATGAAATTAATCAAAGATCTTAATCATAAGAATAATGAAATTAATCATAAAGATCTTAATCATCCAGCATTGTTTGGGCTCCACTCTTAATGTAAAATTGCCTTCCAGCTAAATGAATTGGAGATGCCTACAGGGAATAAGGAAAAACACACTTTTAGGCCATGCGCACAGATCATCGCTTTATAAACATAATGCTTTATATGGAAGCTTGATAAAGTTTACTAAAATGTGCTAAACATCAAACTACAATAGCAATGGACCAGAAATCCACATGATACACTCACAAAAGGAAAACACTACAATCAAATTACAAGCACAAGCCCAAAAAATTATAACAAAGCAAATACAAAGGTAGATAGTTCATCAATGTTGACAATAGTGCAAGTGTAAGGATGGGAACTCTCTAACAATTGAATTGTGTAGAAAAAGAATATATGATTGAATGTTGAATTTCATTGATACATGTAAATAATATATAAACAACTACATTCCTTGTATAACAAGACTCTTCCTACAAGTTAGGAATACATTTACAGTTATAATTCTAATTGATTTCCTACGTTGTCTAACACTCTCACTCAAGTTGGAGAGTGGATGTCAAGAACTCCCAACTTGTGTAACAAGCTTGAAAACTTATCCTTGTAGAGAGGCTTCGTAACCAAATCTGGCAACTGTAGTGTTGTACCAACATGCTTAGTCACTATTGTACCATCAACAATCTTACCACGTATAAAGCGACAATCCATCTCAATATGCCAAATGCGCTCATGGAAGACGGGATTGGCGGCTATAGCCGTTTGATTATCACAAAACAAAAGAGATGGACCAGTTGAAGTAACACCCCAAATCCTCCAATAGAAACCACAACCAAACCACCTCACAACTAGGGGTGGGAAATTTTTGTCATAAACCGATTTACCGACCGAACCATACTGGTTGGCTTATAATGGTATGGTATAATTTTGGCATTTTTTCATAATTGGTTGGCATTTTACCGAACCGACAATTAATGGCATGGCTTTGGTAATTAATTTTGTATGCCGACGATATGCCATACCTACCAATATATATATATATTATTTAGATATTTTAGGTATGCTATAAATCAGAGTCTGATTGTCCATAGTCTGTGCCGCAAGCCAATTGGAATTGGGGTGCAACGAAATTGATGGCATGGAATGCATGTGAGGCTCACTAATATACTTAATAACCACATGGGTCCCAAACTCCCATACGCGAAGCAACTTGTCATCGCTAGAAGTAACAAACCTACGGTTATTGTCCAAAAATTTAATCGTATTCACAGCACTTAAATGTTGATCATACTCTTGCAAACCTACAGTTATTATCCACACTTTCCTTATTTGCAAACCACTGGTTTAGCAATGCCAAGAAGACGGTTGGCTAGCGGTAACTGATTTTCGGTAATTATGTATATGTGGTTGGCAGGTGACACAAGGAATTTGGCACGGTTTGACAACCGAACCTAGCCCTACTCATGACAAGCCTTAGCCATAGCTCTATATTTTTCTTCAGCAGAAGAAAGGGAACTAGATTTATGCCACTTCGCTCGCCATGAAATCAAAGAATCTCCTAAGAACACACAGTAACCAGTAGTTGAGCGTCGAGTGATGGGGTAACCCGCCTAATCAAAATAAGAGAATGCTATAACTTTATTTGGTTATCAAAACGGAATAAGGAGCCTTGGCCTAGGGTATACTTCAAATAACAGACTACTCGAAGAACGGCTAATGCATGAAACCACTTAGAAACATGTACAGGATAAGTAATATCCAACCTATCAAACAATATTGTATCCTCCATAGGGAATGCAATAGGACGCGCTCCCAGAAAACCATATTCTTTCATAATCTCCAGTGCATATTTACGTTGAGAAGAATAAATGCTACTTTTGGATCTAGAGACCACAATACCCAAAAAGTAGTTTAAATCACCAAGATCTTTAATTCGAAAGTGAGTACAGATATAAGATTTGAGAGAATCAATTGCAACAATAACATGGCCTGTGACCACAATATCATCCATGTAAATAAGCAAGGCTGTGAAAGAAGTACCTGAATTTTTCATAAACAATGAATAGTCGGCTTTAGATTGTTTGAAACTAGCAGAAAGAATGGCATTGGAAAACTTGGCAAACCATTGACGAAAACTTGGAAGATGAGTAATCAGATGCAAGGGGGCCTAAATCCCTTCAAGAAGGCCTATTCCTTATCCTATACATATGCCGGACCAAACTTTCTAGAAGCCCTAGAAAGGTGGCTCCCCAAACCTTTGTAGAAGTCCCAAAATCTGCTGCAAAACATTTTATTTCTAGAAGCCTAAAAGAGTGGCGTCTGTTCCCTTTCTAAAAACCCTAAAATCTGCCAGAAACCCCCCCCCTTGGATTGGGCCAAGCCTTGTTTGGCAAACCCTAAGCCTCTTCCTCCAGAAATTCGACCAAACCCTAGCCTATAAATATGTTTTCAGCCAAATTTTGCAGCCCACCCCCATATCATTCTACAGCACATTCAGCCGCATATTTACACCATTCTACACCTTTTGCCACAACCTTGGGAGAAGAAGAAGTCTTGTCGTGGCTTCCATTGGAGAAAGAGGACCTTATGCCGCAAGCCACTTGCAACCATTGGAGTTCTAAGAGTTCTTTCTTCCCTCGTTTTAGTTTCAATATTTATTTTAGTTTGCTTTTCAATTGTTATGAACATGTATAACTAAGTCAAAAGAACAAATAAATCAAAATTGCAATTGAGACGTGAATGTAAAAGAATATGACCCTGCGTAAAGCGGGAGTCTTGTGCACTGGGTACGACAATAAAGCAAAACAACAAAAAAAAGAAAAAAAAAAACCTAATTGGGAATACTCATATTCCCTGAGGAACTGACATAGATCAATTTAGTTAGAAAAATACAGAAAAGCTTTTGAAATTGTCCGACGCAGCATCTGGAACAGACCTATGAAATAACATGATATGGTTTGTTTGATGAGGGCAGTTTTGGCCTAGCCGCAATAATTTTGTTCAATCAAATCAGAAATTGCGAATAAAAATGATCAACATAAACAGTATTTTGAGTTAAAAAAAGTTGTAGAAATTTCAAATTCCATTCCAAGTGAATACCCAAAGTGAGAACGAGGAAGCAAACTATTGTGATATATATACTCCTGGACTTACCCTGGACTTACACTTGGCATGCATATGTTCTCATACTTATACGTAGTATGGTATTTTGGAAACTATACTTGCTTTACTGCAAGGGGTTAGTACGTTTACAAAGTAAATGGTTTCCCTAAATTTCCCAGAAAATTAACCCTGACTATGTAATTTGACAATTTTACCCTTCTTGGGAAAAATATATTCTAACGTGGATGCAATTATTTGACGTTGAACCATTTTCTCGATAGGGCAAATTTTATTATGCTCGTCGTTATGAGTACACGCTAAACACTATAGTGTAGAAACACTATTGTGGATAGTTTGCCCTAGATTTTCTTCAAAGTCGAATTGTTCATCCATCTTCACACAAGGACAACCGAAAACAATTAATACAAGAGCAATAACAAATAAAGAAAGGATGGTTTGCCCGTGCATAAACTAGAAATGGAAGGCAGAGAGAGAATGGAGAAGCAGAAGAGGGGTATCTAGAAATGAAAGGCAGATAGGAGTTGGAGAGGTGAGTTTTGATTTTGGGCAACCAAAATCCTTGGGATAAAAACATTTTACTCAACAATGGACAGTAAAATATTGCAGGAAAGAAGAACAAATAAATCAAAATTGCAATTGAGACGTGGATGTAAAAGAATATGACGAATTATAAAGCACAAGAACACAAAAAAAAAATCCCAATTCAGAATACTCATATTCCCTGAGGAACAGACATAGATCATTTTAGTAAAAAAAATACAGGAAAGCATCTGAAATTGTCCGACGCAACATCTGGAAAAGACCTATGAAATAACATGATTTGGTTCGTTTCATAAGGGCACTTTTGGCCTGGCCGCACTAATTTTGTTCAATCCAATCAGAAATTGACAATAAAAATGATCAACATAAACATTATTTTGAGTAAAAAAAGGTTGTAGAAATTTCAAATTCCATTCGAAGTGAATACCCGGAGTGAGAACGAAGAAGCATAAGAACGGGAAAACGATAATATTCAGAGGCATAGGCAGTTTTACAATATTCATAAGTTGTTTTGTTTGATGAGGGTAATTTTGTCAATTAAATGTGGAAAATTGACCGACTTTGGTTCTTGAGAAGCCATGGCAACCGGGGAAAGGAGTTGCAGGGAGGTCTCGTAATGGGGATAAAAAAACATTTACCCAAAAGCATGGACATTAATTACTGCCCCAAAAAATAACAATTAGCTCAAGAATTCAATTGAGAAGTGGATTTAAAAAAGAAGACCACGAATTCTAAGGCAAAAGAACATACAGATTAAATCCCAATTCAGAAAAATCATGGGGCGATTCATGAATCATCTTCAAAGAGGAACAAACCGAGAGCACGGTTTCAGAAAAATACAGAAAAATGCGAAACGCGGGAGTTTACTGATCGGATCATATTTATATATATATTTTATTTCGAATTCACTCGTCTTTTCTTAGTTAGTTCTTTATATTTTGAGTTATTTACGTTATTTTTGTATTTATAGAAATTGTTATGCTAAGAAAATAAAATAGCACAAATGAGTTTTAAATAATAAACAGAAAAGAAAAAAATAAAAAATAGAAAGTAGATAGCTTCTGTTGTTGTGATTTTTGGGCTGGCTATGTAAAAGTTGCGTACTGTTAACGTTAAACACTCCAAGAATCAATTTTTCTTACATGCTTGACAGGTCTTTGGTCCACGGAGCCATCATTTCTGCTTTTCTGACTATTGCTCAAGCCATGACTGATCAAGGATGTATATAGAGCAGAAGAATATTGTACAATTGGAGAGAGAGAAAGACGGATCCAAGAGAGAAAGGCAGCAAGGCTGCCAGAAAGAGGAATAAAAAAATTAAAAGGAAGCTGCCTTTGCAGCTGGAAAGAAAAAAAGGAGAAACAAGAAAGAAATTGGGGAGACACGGGGGGGACGGACAGAGTAGCGCAAGGAATAGAAAAATAAAAGA